CTGCTGGTCTGTTTGTCGTTATTTTAAGCGCACAACAAAATATGTACATGCACATTTTAATCACGCCGCTGAAGCCTTTCAAACACCATCAGATGCACATGATACAATCATTTTTCTCATACATCTAAAAAAGCAGTGTACACTATTGTAAAATGTGAAGATTTTAGATTTTAAGCTAAAATACACACGGTTTAAATGTGCTGCAATGAAGATGAAAAAGTTAATAGTCTTGAAAAATAGGCCTAATATTATTGATGTAAAATACAATTTCTAACTTCTGATTTTGGAGTGAAATTTTCTTAAAAATTTTTTTTATTTTTTTTTTCATTTTTGAGTTGAAATTTTGCAAATACAGCAAAATAAATGCTTTTGGGAAGAAATATTCTTGATGCAAAAATAGTTTATTTTATTCTTTTTCCTTTTGAATTTCGGGGTGAAATTCTCTTGATGCAAATATAATTCTTTTGATGTATTTATTTATTTTTCATTTGGATTTCGGGGTTAAATGTGACTGTTCATGACCGTCTGGTCTGTTTGTTCGCCGTGTTTGTATGTCAGATATTAGCACAGTCCCTCATCAGGTCAGGTGTCTTCATCGGCCCCGGGGCCCGCAGCTAATCAGCTTTTTGAGTGTGAATGCCCCCCCAGATTCTCCTTGTGCCCCCCCAAAAAATGTCCAGCAAAAAATAAATAAATAAACAAAAAATAAGCATTAAACACTTATTATTTGTACTATCTAAATAAGGATCAGTCACTTTGTTCAAAGGAAAAATTGACAATTATGCACATAATGACATTTGAACTCATAGCCACAAAATCGTATTATAAATAATAATAAAAAGCTAACCGTAACATCCAAGCAGAAAACACAACAGTGCATTTCTGTTCAGTGAAGTATAAAATTGCCTTTATTACAATCACAATCACCTGCTTGCCTGTAAGCCTACTTAGTATATCCTATTTTTAATAAACTGTATACTGAATTTGTTTTTGTGTGAGTGTGCGTCTTCCTTCATTAGCCTTCATTGGCATGAACGGCTCGATTAGTTCCTGTATCAAATGAAGGCCCGCATTCTGAAATACGAAATGTGCTGTGATTGGTTAGCTGGGCCAGTGTGTGTTGTGATTGGCTCTACTTGGCACCTGGTCGGGAAATGTCACGCCCCTTACCATAGCCACCTACGAGCTTCAGTGTAAATATTGTCAATATCAAGTCAATTTGAGCGTGATTTAAAGGGGTCATATGATGTGATTTCAAGTTTTCCTTTCTCTTTGGATTGTTGCAAGCTCTTGGTGCATAAAGAAGATCTGTAAAGTTGCAAAGACTAAAGTCTCAAATCCAAAGAGATATTCTTTATAAAAGTTGAGTCAGCCACACCTACCTAAAACGCCTCATTCTAACACGCCCCACATGTCTACATCACTATGTGGAAATATTAGCATAATGCCGCAGAGAAAGAAGGCATGGTTTCAGGAACAGCAGTGTTGATGCAGTATGTCAGGGAGATGCTGTGTGTTTCAGTGCGAAAGCAAAAGCACTTTATTTGGCCTTCCGGAAGTAGATGCAATTAGGAATCTTTGGTTAAGATTTATTTACAACAGAACAGCACAACCCAGATGTTCGAATTTGTGCAATAACTTTGCAGATCTTTTTTATGCTCAAACAGCAACATTACAGACTAACTAAAGTTGAAAAAGTGAAAAAGCATAATAGGACCCCTTTAAATGTTTTCTTTATAACGGTTATGGGAGGACGCTTAATTCACCGCGTTGCGTTCTTATTCTGTACCATTCTTCTTGCCTGTAGGCTACATATATTTTTTTTATTATCTGTATACAGGATTTGGCGTTCGTCCATAAGCCGCATTAAGAGTTTTCTT